CCTTCTACTTTTCCCAACATTATAGACTTGCTCAGAAAGCTAGATATTTGCACAATGTGTCCAAAATATGGTAATTTGAACCTGGTCATTTGTGCCTCATGCAAGGACAGCAATAATTCCCCATCTTTATTTGGAATTCAAGAATGACTCCAGAAAACCATGTGTGTCCTCGGTTATTAATACCTTTATAAATAACTAACGAGCCTCATGGATGAAATGCTGACTTTCCATTCCATACAGCAGCGGCTCCCAACCTTTTCTATACCCACACCCCTAGAATGCTTCTGATATATTCTTGCACCCCTTACAAAATTTCAAAATAACGGCAACAAATTATGCATATACACTATAATTTTGAAAACCCAAGTTTTTATACCCCCTGGAATATTGTCTTGCACCTCCAGGAGGTGCAAACACCCCCGGTTGGGAACCCCTGCCATACAGAGACAGAATATTAGGTTGATAGGGTAGATTTTTGGCACACTAAGTGATATTCCCATGCTATCTCATAGGAGGCCTTCTATGAAGAGAAATAATTTGATCTCTCTTGTGAGAAATAGAGACACTGCTCAATCATTTCACATTTCTTTATATGGGGAACCAGTTGTGGGCAATGACTCATCACTACAAAGAAAAAGCTTCACAATAACTATTATGAAAGGCTTATAGAAACCAACCCAATCTGCATAGCAATCTCCTATAACGCATATGTCATAGTAACTTATCTATAGTTTATTTAAACATGGCTTATACAATTAATATATTTTTAAGTATTCACAATGAATCACAAATTGACCACATGAGCTAAGTACATAAAGTACACAAAACTAAAATGTGGTTGAATAATTTGCACTTGAGCGTATCATGCAAATATCTGCCAAGCAATGCAATTTAAGCAGCTTTCACAGATTTGTTCCATGGTGTGAAGCAGCCCCGAGACATCATGGATCACTTAATGTTCTCCTTCCTAATACATCTTTTCATTTATGATTGGACATCTGGTGCTAACTATATTTTGCAGCAGTGTTAAAATTATGCCCAATCCTGATTAATATAGCTCAGGGGTCTACAACCTTGACAACTTTAAGATTTGTGGACTTCAGCTCCCAGAATTCCTGGCTGAAGTTGTCAAGGTTGCAGACCCCTTGTATAGCCAAACATACTTCAATGAACTTTAACCACATTTGAAAAAAATGTATCTGATTCATGCACTGTGCTAAAGATAGCATTTTCTATTTGGCCTAGTGTGCCAAGTAAATTCAGCCATTATTACAGGACACCCCCCCCCCCGTGTTATTACAAACCATGATTTGATTTAATGAGATGTGTGAAAACAATTTTGGGTTAATCAACAAACCACAATTAACAATGACTTAGCACAGTGTATCACCCAGATCTATAATTTGCTAATTTAAATGCCACAACAGTTGTTCAGTGATTTATTAAATGTATGTTTTTCCCAAATAATTGCTTTTCTTTTTTAATCTTCTAATGGTAGCTAAACCTGTTCCATGGGATATTTGGATCAGTTTCTACCTCTGTCTTTCCAGCTACCTGTTACAATTTAAATTCTTTTGTATTGCGAAACAAGACACTGTTCTGACATGATAAACAGATTCTTCAGGCACATTTCGCTAACAGAACAACAGAATGCAGCTGTCCGTCCATCACATGATGGACACACTTGTCCTAAGGAGTTTTTCCCCTGATTGCTCCAGTATGATAAAGTGCAACTCAACTTTGAATTCATCTTGCCCCACCCACCCTTTTCTCTTTCCTATCACCATTTCTTCTGCATCTCATGGAAGGAAAGAGGAAGTGAGGAAGGAAAGAAAAATCTTGGAAACCAAAACTGCTGTTCTCATGTTGCTCTCCTGAATATAAGCTCCTAGCCAGTTTTCATAAGGGCTTGAAACAGGAAACTAATCCAAAAATATTATGGATGTAAAAAAAAAGCCTTGCCGAAAACTTATCAGAATTAAATTGGAAATCTATCAGAGTCACAAGGGAAGAAGGGAAATAACTTTTTCCCTACCCCATATATGGTGGCTTTGATCCAGACAAAGTCCCTGCAATCCTACTGGCTAAATACTGCAAATGTACCTGGGATGTCAGCCAAAAAAATAACAAAACTGTAAAGTTACAGAGAACAGTACTGTAGTTTTGCCAAGTCCTCTGGCACCTGTGGATTGTGGGAATATGATTCTTGTGGCTTAATACAATATGACCTGAGATAGATTTATGGCAGTTCAGGAAAATAATATTAATTTTATTTTATTAAAAGAAAGAAATCTCAAAGGAGATTACAAGAATAATGGATTTTGAAGATCCAACTCAGTATCCTAAAGAAAACTGTGTAATTTCTTTCATAAATGGAAATTCAATCTAGGAATTATATTCGATATATTTAACACCTAGGTATCTCTATCCTCCAAGCCTTCATTTGTGCTGATTAAAGAAAACAACAGCTGCTAGGCAGAGAAAAACTAGCTCAGCAGTCCTGGATCAAATGGAATGATTAACAGCTCCGGTTTCTTTTTGGAATATTGTGGCTTCTAAGAGACCTGATTCAAGCACACAAGGCAGTTGTGAAATTGTGGGAGGAGAAAAAGTCTCAGCAGCAGCTTTGCCAGAAGAAGGAATTTTCAGAATTTGTAAAGATGAAGATTTTTATTCACCTTCCTCTCTGCCATGGAATGTTGCTCATTTTATTCACCCTGTGCTAATTAACACATTTCTCATGGAAAGATCTAATTTGGCAGTTTTTAGCATGAATACATGATCCAGATATGCAACAATATAGAATGTGAAAACAGGCATTTATTTTGTCTCTCCTTTTTCATCCTTTCTTTAATCATTCTATTCCACCATTTCTTTGATATTAGTGTAACTCTTGTACCGCAGCGAGTTGTCCCATAGCAAGTGGGCCATGGCTAGTTGGCTGCAGCAAGTTGGCTGCGGTGAATTGCCCATGGTGAATTGTCATAGACCCCCTTGGTACACCATATTACACTTCGACTCCATGAGTTACACTGATTTGCAGCTACAATTCAATTTCTAGTTGTCATCTATAACAGAGGTCACCAATCTTTTCATGCTGGTGGCCCCGAGGGAAAGGGAGCAGCTGGGAAATTTGCGTATTGCGCACGAACAGGACCGTGCATGAATGGGGTCACACACACTCGCATGGGGCTAGCAACCTATTTGTGCATTCGTGCAGGTGTTAGCTGCTGCTAACCCTCGTGCACATGTGCAAACGGGTCGTGCAACTTGCACGGGGCTAGCAGCCCTGTTTGCACAGGTGCACAGTCCCTATCAACCGCATGCATGTGCAAACAAGCTGCGCAATCCCCGCATGCACTCTTGGCTATTTGCATAGGCGCTAGCCACCGCCGCTAACACCCACATGCATGCACAAATGGGCCGCACAACCTGCACAGCACTAGCGGCCATTTGCACAGGTTTACAGGCCCTAGCAACTGCATGCATGCACAAACAGGCTACACAATCCCCACATGCACTCTCAGCTCTATCTGCACAGGTGCTAGCCGCCACGTGCAAGTGCAGATGGGTCTGCAGATGGTAGCGCAAGTAGGGGTGAATGCATGCACACACATCCTGTGGCCCATTGGCCAGTAGGCCAAGCCCTGGTAGTGGGCCGTGGCCCATAGGTTAGGGACCCCTAGACTAGAAGACCTCCAAGGTCCCTTCCAACTCTGTTACTCTGAATTTCAAGGCAGATTTTGGTACAACACTGATTGACTCATATGGGTCTACCACTTCTGCCTTGCTCCTGAATATATAAATGTATTGAAAAATATTTTCTTTGATATACATTAAATCAGAAATCATGATTTATAAAAAAAAAATTAAACTGACCCCATTATTGCTTGGTATACAACTTAGATGATGTTCTTCCTTTAAAATATTGTGGACACATGACCATGACATAGTTATAAAAGCACTTGCGATGAGGCAAGCTTTTGATGACAAACAAATGGAATGAGGAAGTATGTCTATGCAGATATTTGGAAAAAATTACAGCTGCTTCTCCCCAGTTCTATTTTTCTCATTTGACCTGACTATTTCCACAGTTTGGGTTAAACATCCAAAGACATTGGCATTTTTGATGCTGTAGTCCTACACCTACAACTGACAATTAAGGCTGCTCCAAACTGAATTCTGAACACAAAGTTAAATGTAGTAAATACAATGTAATGTGGTCTCTTGATTTAAAACTATACATTCTTACTAAACAACTAGATTTGAAGAAAAAATAAGAATCATGTATGTTTCTACTTCTATCAATCCCATTCCACATTCCTTAAATCTCCCAATTTTCAGAAAATCTCCAAAAATGTTGGCATTCTCCATTACTTAGACTCTCCCTCTGTTTCAGAATGGGATCACACACATTCATGTGGATTGGCATATTCATCAAACCACAATCTACAAAACTGTGGATTAGCAAACACTGTAAACCCAGGCTGTTAAATAGCTGGTTCTAAACTTGATTTCTTAGGGAGACTTAAAATAGACCCCAGCTGTCTATCTGAACATTGCTGCTGTCACTACCAGATACACATTTTAAAAAAAAGCACGGAAAGCATATCCAAATCTTTTAAAAGAGTAAAACATCCTTAGGATGTAGACTGCTGATCCCACACAATACACCATAAAGTACAACAAGCTGCACAGAGTTGCTCCAAATAGTTAAATGGGTGGTATATAAATGCACTAAATGTAATAAAAAATTAAATAGTTTGTTTTGATTCCTAGCAAAGGAAATATTTTGTTTCCATGGGTTAATAGAACAAACACCGAAGAAAATCTAGACCACAAAGCTTCACAGTTCAAATACCCCAGAAATTTTGAATGAGAATCATTTATCGTGAGATGTTAAATTAAACAGTAGTTCAGACTTTTATTCTGGGAGGAAGAACATGGTAAGAAAACCTCTCTTCTATCTCAGATAGAATAAATTTGGGTATCAGACTTACCTTTGCTCTTCGAAACAGTCTCTTTCCCTTCATCATTCTTCTTGTAATAAGATTTATAGGCTGTTTTCAACAGTTAAAATTGCATGGGAAATGTTTCTTTTAGCTTTGCCCCTTTTTCTCACTCTCATATGAGTGCACACATACACACACACAAACTCAGCCAGAATTCTCTTCTTGTTTACCTTCAAATACTTTTTATTACATCACACTGAAAGAAAACCCGAAGCAGTAATTCTACAGGTAACACTGGTTTGCTTAACACACCCCTATCAACAAAGAAACAGGAATTGGGTGTAAGTTTCATTTAAAAAAAAAAACTGTAACTGCTGGAAGGTGGGAGGAGGAATCCAAAACATGACAACCCGTAGCCTCAAACCTTTGGAAAGCTTCATGTAAACAGTATTGGAGCCAAGGAAGAAAGTCTGAATTAGGTAGCTTTCTAATATTTGGAAACAATTTTATTAACCGTATTAACATGCAACTGGTGTTTGATACAAAGACTAAAACTGTGTTTATTCTTTAGCTTGGTGTCTTCAAAATGTAATGGACCACATCTTTTATGTTGATAGTGAAAACTGAAGGTCTAGATCAGTGTTTCTCAAACTGTTTGAACAGTGGATTAATAATTTATAATAATTTATTTCTAATCAAACAGATTTTCCCCAGTCCTGCAAACAGCAGTTTAAGCAGGGATAATGGGACAAAAACACAGCCATACATTGGATTTAAGTTGCAAAACTCTGGTCAATTATTAGATGGAACAGGAGTTGGCACGGGGAGATTGCAATCCTTGACATGCTAGTCCTAGCAACAGATAATGACGGTGGATCTGTCACATTACTTTCAAGGTTATTAAAATATTTGATTTTTGAATCACAGAAAGGCTTTTGCTGGCCACTATATTGCTCTTTATTTTTCTTTACTAAATCCATGATTACTTTTAGTAACAAAAAAAGGTTGAAACCAGAGAAATGAAGTAGATGCATTCAAACCAAATATGTATCTATCTTTTGTTTCTCTGTAGGAGATGAGGATGGAAACAGACATTCAGTTAAAATGGAATGTTAAGTTAGTTAAACATTTTAACAATGACAATATTTCTGGGTTTAAAAACTGGGCATAACTTAAAGTTATAAACTGCTGTTTTCAATTCTTCTGCTAGGTGTGGCCAGATGTTTGCTTCTTGATCTGCCTGCTTCTTTTTTAAAAAATATAAATTAATAAGAAATATTGGTGACTCCATTTTTACTAAGACCAGAAATTCTGGGGAGAAAAGGGTTACTGTAATTCTCAATATGGCCTGAAGAAATTGTTCTCCTACCAGCCTTAGAGAAAAGCTTCCATTAGCATTAATAGAACTTCCTTCAGGGATCCATAAATGAAGAGGGGACCATTTTCATCAAAACTGCCAACAGATAATGTGGTTAGAACATATATCTTCTCCTCTATTAAGTGAAAAAGAGAGAGAAGCAAAGAGTTTCAGCTCTATGACTGTGTGTGGAAAATAAATGCAGTGATATATGCAGCAGGTAACCTCAGAAACTCCATTGCAAAATAGACAGCATAATTTCCACTCACAAAAACACAGAGGCATTTCATTTTAAAAACAACAGAAAATGTCTCCAGACAATAATAGAGAGCTAAGTGCCTCCTGAAAGAAACACAGCTTCCACTTTATACAGCAATGCAATACCTTAATAGGGGCAGGATTGCAGACAAAAAAATCCGGAGGTGCAAAACTAATCTACAGCTTCACTGGTTCCAGTGTCCGAGGGGCAATTTCCAAGTAGCATTTATATGGAAAAATATAAATACCCCATAATCTTGTGCTTGATATTTCTGAAAGCAAAGAGCTTCTCTCAGTGTAAGCCAAAGGATGTGAGCACAAGAGGTACTTCTCATCTTGTTCTCTGCACCCTTTTACAAAGTGAATGACTGTATTCACTGCACAAAAATAGAATTTTGTTTTTGGGCTGTGGAAGTCAACTCCATACAATTTTCTGGCATCATAAATAACTGACCACACAGCAGTTAGCTGAGCAAAAAGGTGCATGATTTAGATTTGGAGGATGTTTTTTCACTTTTATTACTTCATGATGGAGTTAATACATCATCATAATTCTTTGTTTGGCACCATCATTCTGCAGTTGCTAAACTGCATGAATTAATTTCCCATCTGATGTCATTAGCCTCTGGGCCTCTTTCAAAATAACTCTTAAGAGTATGTTCACTGATTAGATTTTGAAAGAGAGTGCATGAAAATCTGCAAGTACAAATGTAACAAGGGAATTGGGGATTCATGTGATACTTCTGGAACAGAAATAGCTTATTAATAGGATCGATAAAAATCTACATCCTGCAGATGGATCTCTTTGGGAAAGGCACAAAAGTACCACATCACATAGCCTTGGGCATTCCTCCAAAAAGTAAAATGGTCTCAAAATTCAGATTGTATTCCACTTGGTCCTATGCATAACAATAATTTTTGAAAACATATATGCAGATATATTTAGTGTTTCAAAATCCCTGCAAACTCTTGCTTTCTTTGGTAACAGAACTAGTTGCATTGAACCACAAAAATTCAGAAGATATCTGTATAAAATTGAAGGCTTTTTACAAAATGATCATGTCTGAAAATTCTCAATTTACCCTAGGGCTAAAAATACTGCTTCATTAATAAGTGAACACTTGCAAAAGAGGGCTCAGATGACAATATCCTGAACTGATCTAAAGATGAAGCATGAGCCAGGAGCTCCATTTCCCCAGTGGCCTTCATGTATTTTTTTTTCTTGGAAGTCAATTTCAATCTGGAAAGTGTTCATCTCCAAACCTGCTTTCTGATTATTTTTTACTTGAATTTGATATCTTTGATATTTTTCATACAGACCCAGGAAACTACAGCCTACATCAATATCTGGGAAGATACTGGAAAAGACAAACAGATCTGTGAATACCTAAAAACAAAGTTATAACTAGAAGTCAGCATGAATTGTTAAAAACAGATCATGCCAAACCAATCTTATTTCATTCTTTGACAATGTGACTAAATTAGTAGACCAGTGAAATGCTGTGGTATAGTATAGTTCAGTAAGGTATTCAACAAAGTAGATCACAGCCTACTTCTTGGTAAACTAGAAAATAAGTGGGATAGGTAGCATCACCACCAGATGGATTTGTAATTGGCTGACAAAACATACTCAACATCCTATTCTATCTATGGAGATTCTCAATCATCCGGGCCATGTTATCTCAAGGTGTTTTCCAAAAGGCAACTGGATTTTCTTGTGTTTTTTTTTTTCTTGAAAATGTTTTACTTCTCATCCAAGACACTTCTTCAGTTCTGAAGCTTTTTCACTTCTTCAGAATCTGTACATGTAATGTTGTCCACATCTGTGTTCATATAGTATTCTAAAAGAGAAACAACAGTTTACAAACCACAGCATCTGGGTTTACATGTAGTCCTAAACTATATTGTGTTTTAATTTTGAGACAATGTTCAAACCAGGGCAGCTCTAAATTATGGAATGTAGATTCAGCATAGTTTGTACCATTGCTTGCATTAAAAAATACTAATCTTTTCATGTGTCATTGGGATTATCACACTAAGATACTTGAACTGTTGAAGTAAACTGAATCTCTGTCAGCTCATTTTCAGAGTGCAATCAAAAACCTTCATGAAGCTGCCTTGATGTGGTAGAAGCCTCAAGCACATCTGTGCTTGAATGATTCATGATTCTGTTATCTCCAAGCTTCCTCCAATTTCTTTTTGCTAAAGACTTAAATTATACTAAAGCTGCTTTATCTCATAAAATGACAGTACTATCTAATCACAGAATGCACTACAACCTTCTCTGCACGTCTAATAGAAGTTACTTTTTAGGTGCTGCTGGTTCCTTTCTCACTTGCAATCTGAACTGCTGCATAGTTTTTGTTTCAAGATGCTATACAATTCCCCACATTTTAGGGACCAGAACTGTCAAACTGACAAAGCCTTTATAATCTATTTACTAAATATTCGGTCAATTACTAATGATAGCACCATCTTTGGAGGTTAACCAACTTTCCAAAAGCCTTCCTGAACTGCCATGTGCTTTTGGTTCCCTAGCATCCCAATAAAATAAAAGAGAATTGGGGATCTCTTCTACAGAAGGAGGGGCATCACTGAAAGGGCTTGTATCCTCCAGACCATAGGTGTCAAACTCATGTCATGTGGTGTGTCACAACATATCACGACTTTTTTTTTGCATTGTTGGATCTTGAGTGGGTGCGGCCTACACATGATGCAACCGGCCCGTGGGCCAGCAATTTGACACCCCTGCTCCAGACAATGAGTCATCCAAGTTGTGCTGGAACATCTAAATCTAAAACATTCAAACACACCTTTTGCAATATAACTGAAGTATAGTACCCTGAATTTGGGGTTTGATTTTATATTTCAAGAAACAAATAAACAAAACAAGGTCTGTAGGCCATACATGAGGCTTTGGTTGCCGGACATCTCATACCTGATTTCATCAGATTTCTACTGCAGCAATGCACTGTGGTCAAAGTAACCACAGATACCATCTGTTCTACCATGCTTGTTCTGCTGGCCCTCTGAAGACTTCAGCAATTCTGGGTTTGCTATGGCAGGAAAGCCGCAATACAGCTTTTCATTATCAGTGCCAGGTCAATAAATCTTACCCTGAGGAAAGACTCTTCAGGATTCAAGTGTTATTTTGTGGTTGCTACAGAACAGAATCACAGTAGCAATAGTCAGCTAGAGAATGCATTTGGTTGGTGGTGGCAACAAGCAATTTTCTTGTCTGTGAATGGGAAATACGATAAATCATCTTGCTTGATATACTGCCTTAGGCAAGAATTCCAACCTCTCTCATGGGAAGCCAGGGCAGTCTCTTCGCTCAGTGCACAGAAATCCGATTTTATAGATATTTCAGTTTCCTTTCTCTAAAACAGGCATGTCAAACTGAAACCGCACTCACCCCATTGCTGGCAATGGGGAAAAAGTCGCGATATATCGTGCGATGTCACATGACGTCACGAGTTTGACATGCCTGCTCTAAAAGGTGTGGTTTGCAAGACAAATATGGTAGTTCCATGATTTTCTTTCTTTTTAGGCACTCCCTCACTAACTGCAATAGGATTCCATTCTAAAGAAACATACTTAGGACCAAGCAGTTCATCATTCAAGAGAAGAACAAGGCAAAGCTCAGAGTTTTGTGAGAGCAAACCTAAAATCACCTGGCACTAGGCCAAAATGTGTTTTTTGTGGAGCTTAAGATTTGCAAACGTAAACTTGCAAGATCTGCACTGATGTCACCTAATTTGGGTAATCAAATGTCTGCAAGAAAACAACCAAACTCAGAGAGTATCCCTCATTTCAAACTTAAGTTTTTAAATCTCCTAATACAATTGGAGAAAGCCAGATTGGTATTCTACATAAATTTGATTTTGAGCAGTACTTGCAGGATCATGGCTGCTAAGGTGCCTGGGCAAACTGAAGGTCTTTTCCTGCTTTACTGCAAACTTACCTCTCCAATTACTATTCTGCATTCAAAAGAAACTCTCCCTGAAATCAGCTGTGGTTTGAAATGCTGACATCCATGAGTAATAACATTTTATACTTAAATAATGCTGTAACACAGAGGTAGGCAATCTGGTCACCTCCAGATTTTGGGGATTACAAGCCCATGTTCCCTTGGCATAGGGGACACTGGCTGCAGCTGAGGGGAATGAATGCCCAAACATCTAGAACAGGGGTGTCAAACTCGCAATGTCACGTGATGTGTCGTCACGTATCGCGACTTTTTTTCCATTGATGGCAATGAGGTGGGCACGGTTTCACCATGATGCATCCGGCCCATGGGCCAGATGACACCCCTGATCTAGAATATACTGCTTGTTCCTTGCAATAGAGCATTCAAATTATTTCATGCTCATTACTGTCATTATACTTGGCTCCATGCTGTTGCTGAAATCAACTGTAGAAATTGAAATTGAAGGGAGGTTTGAACTAGGATCATTAACCACCCTGCCAAGATGGCTATTCTTAGAAAGAGGTACATGAATAGAACAAAGAAGTATTTGCAGAGTTGGAGGAATTTGAGAGATACTCTTTCATATAGTAAGAAATCAGTTCCTTCCCCAATGAGGGCCAGTTCTCACATGGTAGACAATTTCCTCCTAAAGACCACATCACTGGTTGTTTTACAAAGCTCCTCCCAAAACAAAAACTGGAAACCAAGAATATATGCCAAGGGGGATGCTGGACAATAGTAGAAATTAGGAATGAGAAACATTTATCCTAAATAGCAAGGATGGTAATAATATATTCACTGAATGGGACAGAGTACTGCCACAGTATGTAGTGGTGAGGATGGCGGAACAATATAGAAAATCAACCATCAAATAGTTGACAAGCTACTCTTTGATTCAGACATCTATTTGCCCATTCTTTCTCTCATTTTTTTTAATTCCTCACTTTCCACTAATGAATGTACTAGTAATAATAATCTTTATTTGAAGGCAGGGAGGGTAGTGCTCCTCTTCCCATATTTGCAATAAAATAGGGATAAAGTAGGAACTAATGACAGCTAGTACTATCCTCCTGGTAAAAAGAAGAGAAGATCAGCAGAGCATCAGCAACACAGCATATACCTAAATCTATCATCACGTATCCTTTTTCAGATGGTTAATGTAGAATATGTCATGCTGATGCCATACTTCAGATTCTTCTTTATCCACAATTAGTAGAGAAATAGTAGCATATTTGGCAACCTTTTTAAAACTCTATGTTAAAATACTACTGTGTTTTTCTGCTTGAATTTTGTTTTCATGTAATAAAACATTTTATGCTACTTTAAACTGAATTGATTATTTGAAATTGCCATCTCTGCTGCTTTGAGATCATATCCTTTTTTTAGATGAGGGTAAGCGGTGTTTATAATGTCATGTCATGCTTCTATAATTCTACGTTTGGGGAATATTATACATCTAAGCATGATCAGTTTCAAAGGTTAAAATGTAGTGGAAGCATGCTTGCCATATTTGTGTCACACCAATATGACCTTGCCCAGTTCTGGAAAAGAATACATTTGTGAAAAAATTGGATTTACAAAACTGAAAAGCTGGTCTTTTTTCATAAGAAAGATACTATTTTTGGTAAGGTTGTGTACCACTATGCAGTTTTGCTAGAGGAATGTTATTTTAGGGATATGTAGATTACGGACTATAATTTTAAGCTATACTTCAATTAGAGGGTAGAGTTTAAAAAGAAGAAAGAGTATGAGAAGAAAAAGGGATTGCATAACAAGGTTCAGCATACACTGAGGTTTGGGTGATATCTCAAACTGACTTGGTAGTAATTATAGATTTTCTGGATATATATTTTTCTTTAGTATGAGCTTAAGTGCTCTGTAGCACAGTGTTTTATTAATAATCAAGACTATTTTAGGAATAACAGGCAACTTTTCATATTTCATTTTCCTAGTATAATGGGCAGTTGCTTTAAGACAGTCTGTTCTTGCATCTGTTAATTAAAAACGTTTTGGATATTGCAAATAGAAATGAAAAGGTCATTCACTGGTAACTAATATATAAAAACTGAGTATAAAAAATAAACATATCCATATTCATATTTTTATGAATGGATTACAATGTTACAATGCCAGCACAGCATACTATGTAGCACGGCCATATTTCAATTTTCTATCAACCTGAAATTCCTGCTCATGTGATCAAAATTCAGATGCTTGGCAACTGGTTCATATTAATGACTATTGCTATGTCCCAGGGTCATGTGATCACCTTTTGCGACCTTTTGCAAAGACAATGAGGAAGCCATATTCACTTAACTGTGTTACTAATTTATCAACTGCAGTGATTCACTTAACAACTGTGGTAAGAAAAGTTGTAAAAAGGGGCAAAACTCACATGACAAATGTCTCATTCAATAGCAAAAATTGTCAGCTCAATTGTGATCGTAAGTCAACGACTACCTATACAATGTTTAGCCATAGTGCTCCAACATATGTCCATGGTCTATTATTATTAAAAACTGCTATAGAAAATAAAACATTCAACATGGGCAGGCACTAATAATACTTATTTTTTCCCATTCAAAGGGTATAAATAAAGATCCAAATGTCTAAGATACAGCAATAAAATTATTAGAATGTGCCAAAGTTATTGGCCTCATTCATACATTGCCCTGGGCTATAATAAGATTTATGTCATTTTGGTTTAGCATGCATTTCAATTTATGGTCTATTGTTAATAAACCAACTACTATGGATTATTCAACCAATCAAGATTAAAACAAACAATGGCTTAGCATAATGTGCGTTTCAAGCTACAATGATAGGCATGGTCCTTTATAGAAATGAATATTAGTGATGGCATTCGTAACA